AGCAGAGGGAGAAGAGGGGCAAGGTGTACAACATGAAGACACTGATGATCCTGCAGATCAATTCAGCATGCAGCTTCTTCCCTCCTCAATCACACACACACACTTTATAGTTGCATTGGACCTGAGTATACACATCCTTCCTGTCTCCATATGTAATGTGTTTACCTGGATCCAGGATTTGGATACATCCTGTTTATTTAGCTTGCATCCGATGTTTAATGTTCTCTTATTTTAACTGATGCGATGTCACTATCTACAAAAATAAAATAGCATATCCCTGTGAGATAAAGATCTGATGTTTGATTGTAATTTCCAAACAAAGAAACATGATTTACATTTACTGTGGTAAAGAGGTTTAAAAGACAGAAGGAATGAAGGAGAGTTAAGGTAATGGTGGGGCGGACTAATGATATTTCAGTTTTGTACTTGGACACATTAGGACACTAAAGGCGGTGAAATGGCTGAAACGTTTTTGTTAGGATGTTGGTTACATTGTCCTCATAAAGTGAAACATTTACACAACAAAACATATTCCCTACAGCTTACATTGTCATTACAATTAACAAAATCAACATGGACCCTCTGAGGCAAGAGTTCTCTTTAGCTGCCTGTATTCATGGTTTCATATTTCAATTGATTTAAAGCCTCTGTTGAGCTGTGCCTTGCTCCTTTAATCTGTATTGAATCTGAAATGTCTAATTTAATCCTGCAGTATTAGGACGAAATGTATTGGGTATAGAAATGTTCTCATGGCAGCACCCCCTTGTGGAATTACAGAAGAATTACCATCTAACTGGGGTTAGGGTTAGAGTCAATATGTCCATAAATTGCCTGAAACTACTTTGAGACTACCTGCATAAGAAATGTTACTTATGTAAAAGTACAAAGATAAGGAAAGAAAAGTGTACTTTAACTGGCAGAATGGTATCCCCAGGTTATATCATATATAATTGGGTTAATTCTACTCATTAATTCATGTTAAAGAATAGTTTAAATGTTGAATCTGGTTAAAGTGGAGCCAATATATACTGCTGGGTTTTTCAGTGTGTCGTATTTTTTAACATCTTGTAACTTGTAACAATGACTTTTAAATGAATGTAGTGGCTGAGAAGGAACAATGTTTCCCTTTGAAATAATGAAGCGCATGCAAGTGATCTTTTAAGTTGCTGCAGTGGTGCACACTCCCAAGTACATTTGAAGTTGATCAAATAACAATCCAATTTCAATTCTTGGAAATGTATTGCGATGTTTGATGGTCTCAGGACGTTTCTCGCACACTTGTATATCTGTGCAGTGTATTTTCTTCGATATGGAAAAGATTAAACTTTGTATTCGTGTGGCACCATCTGAGTGTTGAGTAATTTATTTATGTGTACGCTGAGGTCTGGACTTAACTAAGCTCTACGTCATGCTAAATCTTTCATTTCTGTTAGCAATCTTTTCTTTATTTATAAAAACATCTCCAGGGGAGGATGCTTTTTGGGGATGCCTCATAGAAGAAATAGTCATGTTGCTGTTATTCTCATTTCCCCAGCCCTCTTATAAACGTCTTGACTTCTTGTGAGGGGACACATGACACAGATAAAGAATGATATTTATGAGAGATCCTTTTAAAATGTTACTTTGGTTTGGAGAATTGTTTTTTTAATCCAAGCTTCTCAGAAGGAAGAATATAGCACGACTTTGATAAATATTTGCCTCAGTTCACTGACTCACATTACTCCGCCTTCTCCATTCGAGCATTTCACTAATTATTTTTCTAAGTATTTTCATCACAATCTTTTATCAACTTCCCCTTCTAACCTAAATCCTTTTTAAAGCCTTGCCAAAATGTTCCACGTTGACTTTAACTGTGTGACTAATGTCTTTTGCAAACATGCTTGAGCCCACATGTGATAGCAGGTCTTTAAAAACATGCCGTCTGAGGAGGTAATTTGAATTTTGCACTCCCTTTTCATGCTCAATGACTTTCAACACCGGAACTGAATGTGTGAATAAGAGGAACTTGTTAGCAGGTGTAATTTGTTCTCTGTGAGGGATTTTCAAAAGGAGCTGTAAGAGTAAGGATATAAGAGGTTAATTCCTGGGCACTTGCATATTCTGACATCATGACATGTATAGGCTTGAAAGTCGTCCAAGTCTACTGAAATTCAGGAGCGGCTGTAACTGAGTGGTATCACTTTACAACAGCTTCCACCTGGTCTGAAGTAATGCGTTTTCTAAAGACTGCCATTTGCATTTATTTGGTAGAAAAACACAGTGTGAATATTCATTTGATCCAAAAACAATGTAAATTAATTCTGTGCAGATACAGAGGAATTTTATTCGGGCAACTACAACAAAGAACAGTTCTATTATTCCTTAACGTTACAACATTAGACATAACATTTTGATCATAACCAGAGCTATGCAATGTTTTAATCAGTGGGTCCTATTTTTATATTTTATAAGAGGTGGAAGTGGAGGTTACCCACAAACAAAGGAAGGAAAGAACAACACTTGCATGGAAACATGGATATTAACAATGCACATATTAAATACAAAATGTCCTCTGCAAGATCTAACTAAAGTATGCATAAAAATGTCATAGTACAGTTTGTCATAAAAGGCATTGTTTAGTATACCATAAACATTTCACAAAACCTGTAACAGTGTATGTATGTATGTCAAATAAGTGTACTTAAAAATTACATAGTATGCAATTAAAATATGATAAAAAATAATGTTATAGTATACCGTCAAAATATGTAAGAGATTGTGTCACTAAAAAGGTCAGAGAAAAATGAATAGAAAGGTATGCTAATAAAAAGTTGTTTCAAAAGTAGTAGAAGTAGTATATCATTTCATTTAGATAAATTGTAATATAGAATGCAATGACAAGTCATAGTAGGGTATGGTATAAAATAAATTCATGAATAAGCGTAATCGTAAAGTATGCTATAAAAATGATAGTGGCGTGTGCTTGTGTCTTCATTTTGATTTATCGTTGTTTGCTTTTGATAAATGTTGGTAACTACTATCCATATACCATACATATTTACCCTAAATTGTTCCTTAGTACTTCTGACAACACATGGTTGGTCTAGTTATGTTATTGCGGTGATTATTGACCCTAAGGCCTAAAGCATACCATAAAAAGGACCCGCGTTATTGAGCAAAACAGTTATGTTACCAGGCAACAGGTAGGAGGACCACCTTTGAATATTCAACAAACCCTCCTCCTATTTCCCAGCGGATCAGTGTTTGTTTACTCTGGTGGGGAGTTCCTTAGGCAACAACTTTTTGAAGAGAGAATAGTCCTAAGCCCCATAAATCTACAAAGACTACAAAGAGGAGAGGAGTGGAGTCTTTTTCTTTTTTTGTTTACTGGCAGATTGGTTTCGCCCACATTTCTTAAAGGTCTTAATGTTCTGTTGGTTCCAGGTTCATACATGTATTGTATGGCTTCTTTTAGAATATCTTTATGTTCTCTAATGCTTATAAAACCCATTAATTGTCTCATACTTTGTCCCTGTATTCACCCTTTGGCTGAAATGCTGCACCTAAGCACTTTTAAAATAATTAAGTTGCTAGGCAACAGCTTGGGTCTGTGTTTACTTCCTGTCAGCTGATGTCATTCACATGCACATAAGATATTAAGACTGAAAACAACTTGTTTAAAGGAACAGTTTCTAAATAGGGCAACTTGTATCTTTTCATTTGTTTGAACATATTGATACTTAAGCAGTATTTATACAGCAGTTAGACAAAATGGCATGAAATTATAATTTTTCACAATATGGGACCTATTATTTGTAAGTATCGGTGTGTCCTGCTTTGCCCTCCTTTGTATGATTGTAAATCAAATATCTTGAAGCTTAAGCATATGAGGTCGAAAAGATCATGAAAAAGGTCATCGTATAGTATGTTGAAAAAAATATGAAAAAGCTCAAAGCACCCTATGTCAAAAAATATTATAAAAGACATAGTATAGTATTTTCAAAATAGAATATGTGGAAAAAAGTAATAAAATCATATTTAACATTTTGTTATTGTATAGTAGGTTGAACATGTCATAAAAGAAAGTCATAGGATAGTATGTCGAAAAAAAGTAATTGTATAATTGGCTAAAAAGAAACCATCCAGTGTTAGAGATGTTTTGAGTTGTCTGGCTGTTGTATCCAATAATGACTGGAGAACATATAACCTGGCATGGTATGATTTATCAAGCTGCTTACAATAATGCTCTGCTTTAAAATATCATGAATTCCTCATGGTTGTATGTTTATTTTTGCAAGACTCTAAATTACCCCAGAATGTGAGTGATGTCAGTGTTACCCTTGTTTTTTTTCGCAGTGTCTCTGTGCCTTCAGCCAAGGGCATCCTGGGAAAAACACAATATCTCATTGGTATTACAAGATCTGAGTAGACCACATCACTGTTTACTTTGGCTTTCTCTTATTTTTATTACACGTGTTGTGGGTTGTACACGTCAGTGCCTCCCCATTTTATGTCTTTTGGACTTTTACTATTCCGTTGTTTCCCTCTTAAAGCACCATGTCCCAACATCTAAGGTCGGCAATATGTTTATTTCTACCTTTCAATCTACCGCTGAGACATTTATGGGAAAAACACTTTCCTAAATCATCACAGGAAGGCAGATAAGGGGGTTTTAGGGGCAGCAGCAGTTAGGTTCCCGTTTGGTGTATATGATTGTGTCGGGCTGTCTTGATAGGTACATGCATCAAATATTCATGACCTTCCGTGATGCATGCTGTATATATGAGGAGGTTTCGGTCCTATTCCCGCTCTGTGCCGTCAGAGCAGTTTACATCACCTACACATGAATACAAAACAGATGAACCACTCTCCCTTTCCTGGCTGCTGTTTTGATGTTAGAAATCCGAAAATCCGCATGAGACAATGAATGTTAAAATACACAACACTCTGCTGATATCTTGCTCTGCATTTCATTTGTGGTCTTGCAGAGAAGATCAGGTTTCAGAAGGAAAAATCTCAGATGTCAGTCCAAAATGTTTTATTTTGTAAAGAGGGTAATTGGAGATGAGAAAACATGGTGCGCTTCTAAATGATATATTCAAATGTACATGACATTCAAAGGGTATTAGAGTTATCACTCAAAGTTTCCACACATGAACTTAAGTCTTCATTCCAACATGTTCTTCAAATGAAAATGAATAAAAAGTATATCTTCAAAATAAAAATATGTAACACAGTAAACCCTTGGGAGGCTGAAAGAATAAAAAGAAATAACAGTTACATGCAGAATGTAGACCAATGAGTTTAATGGCTGATTTGGAAAAACAATCATTAAAAAAACCCACAAGGTGAATGACTAAACAACTTCCTAATTTGAAGACAAATTTGAATTGAATTCTTCTGCTGTTTTGTTCTCACATCATTAACTCACATTAGCAGAAACGGCATTGTTTCAGTCTTTTATTCTGTATAATATAGCTCAATAGGAAATATAAGAAACTGCTATTAATGACAACTTGAGTGGTCTTGGCTAGCCATTACAAACAGCACATATGAGTTGAGATGCCTCATGAAAATGACAATCCAAAATAAATTACATTTCCAAAACCTAACAGAGACTGGTTGGGATGGGGGGGGGGTCGGAGGAGAGTTGGACTCAATGGAGAAACCACCGACTGATGGCTAGTCAAATACACCGCGAATGAAGCTCCTCTGGATGTGTGGCGTCCAGAGGCACGACTGTAGAGTGAGTAAAAAGGTCCCAAAGTAGAAACTGCAGTCTTAACATGTGCCATACTTTAAAATGTAGAGGAGAACACCCTTACACTCATCAATATGATGAGCAGAAAAGTCCCAAACCAAAGCTTTGAAGTCTTTATTTTTGCTATCGGGGAGAGGAAAAATACTCGAAAACAAAAATAAAACACAAAACAGGAGAGGGAGGGAAGAAACGACTCCAGATATTACGCTGAATGCAGAGAAGATGAACTGCACGTGTTGGGTGAGACACTCCGGCACAAGGGGTTATTTCCTGGAGCTAGACTTCTAATATCCAAAAGTACTGGTCTGGAGGACCCATGTTGGTCAAGGGGTGTCCATGGAGATGCCTACAGCAAAATGCCTCAACGGCAGCATCTTAGCAGGCTGTCCAAGAGTGACGCTATGTGCTTCCTGTTGCCTGGCTCTCTCCTCCCTCGGAGTTACCTGCAGGAAGGAAAGGGACAGAAGGCTGATAAGGTTTCTGTTGTCTAAATATAAACATCACACAGAGAACACTCTGAATCCGGATGAGTCCCCATTATACTGTTTTAGATACATTTAATATAGGTCTCAGATATATACAGAACATGTCTCCTAAGTGTTTGGCTGAAACACCAAACAGATAATTGCAGCATCCCATAATCCCCTCTGTTTCAGCCCTGTTTAAAAAGTTCTGATTCTCTGTCTGTTACTTTAGATCAGGGGTGGGGAACATCCGGCCCCCGGGCCGTATACGGCCCGCGAGACCATTTGGTACGGCCCTCGAGGTAATTTATCAACACACACAAAAAAGAAAAAAAATTAAAGAAATCTAGACCGCAAAAGAATTAAACAAGCGAGTGCCTGTTTTTCCTGGCCAAGGTCAGGGTCCTTGAACACAACACGAGCCTAACGTGTCATCACGTGGTATATGTCTAGTCTGACAGGGGTGCAGTTCTGACGAGCACCAGAAAGTCGCTAGGCAAATGTCAGTACCCATAAGGAGCCGTACACATGCCGCAGTTTTTGCGTGGCTGTGTCTTTAGTTGTAATCCCAGTGGCGATCTGTTCATCTGTCATACTGATCATACAGTCAATAACTTTGTTGTTATTAGCATCTGGTTAGCTAGCTATGCTAACGAATATAAGAAGCTTTTTCTACAACCAGTGAGGTAAAGGCACATCTTTATATGATCATTATAGTTATAAAAAAAATAAGAGAATAAAGTAAACAGGTATAAAATACTATATGACGGTAAAAAAAAAGTTGTTATTAATAAACAAGGATACAGTTTGAAAGGGGAGTGATTTGTAAAATATCCATAAAGAAAATTAAATCTGGTTCCAGTTCTGTTTCATATGGATGTTGAGAGATGTATCCATAGATCTCCTAATGTTGCTCTCAAAATGCAGCAGATTGATGCTTTTAACTTCAACATTAAAAACAAATCTTCCCAGGGGAGCATGCCCCCGGAGAGGAGGTTAGGTCCCCCCCCACTTCAATCATGTCCACATGGATAGTAAACTAAATACATTTGAACACATCTTGTGTCCATATCTTTCTGTGTTGGTGGTCATGCTACAACCGTTCACGTGCATGCATACGCGAGTCATGGTAAGATATCTGGATTAAGAGTTGCTTTTTCTTTGCACAGCATGAAAGAAAGGCCAAATGACTGGGCTGTGATTTTAGTATTTTTAAGCAGAGGTCAATCATTTGTACGGCCCTCGGAGGATGTTGAAAAAATGTAAATGGCCCTTGAGAGGAAAAAGGTTCCCCACTCCTACTTTGGATGAAAATAAGGAGCCACTCCCCACGCCCCTATGAGAGGTATTTGGTTAAAAAGAACACAATGGTGCTCTAGGAGGAGATTCAGGTGATAAGGTGGGGGTGGGGGTTACCTTGGTTGGTGATTGGCTAAAGGTTACTCAAGCCAAAAAATATCATAAAGTGGCCAAAATCTGATCAGCTTATTTTCAGACAGGTTTTTGTAGAAATGGACCAGGACAAACAGCGAGAGAATCTTTTTTCTTGAAACTTTCAGAACCTCTTTCCACAGAGGGGACACATGTTGAGGTATAAAAGACATGAAAAAGTGGAGCATAATAGGTGACCTTTAAGAGTGTTGAAACACATTCATAATACAAATAAATCACTGACTCGTAGCCGGAGTGGAGGCTGAAGCTGAAGCCGAGGCATTGTCTTCCTCGTCGCTGTCGTCGGACTGCGGTACCTCGGCATCGGGGATGGTTGTTGTCGGGGTCTCGGGCTCCTGGTCCGCCCGGCTCTTCAGGGCTAAGATACGGTGATGTAACGCTGCAGCAAGCTGACCTATGTCCTTAGAGCTAGCCTGAAGGGGAGAGACGGGGGGAGAGTCCATTAAGCACATTGAAGAAGAGACTAAATCTGTGTTATCAGTGCCGTTTGAGCGCACTACCACTCTATGTAGATTTCATATAAAGCTGGACAAAACAAACAGGAGTTATTTATGTTGAGCATCTGGAAGGCTTTTGAAGTAAACAAAATAAAGTCTAAAGGAAGCGTTGACTTGTATTACCAACAGCTTGGCACAAACTGAAACTAGTAAGGGAAAGAGAGCAGTACTAAAACAATATCAAGCCAATTCAAATCAGGAGCAGACAGTGGTTTTCTTTCTAGAGTAAAGGGAAGATAAGGAGTACAACCTAGGTCTGTGTTTAGTATGAAGAGGTTTCATGTAGCACGGGGGAAATATTGAAATGTGTATCGTTAATTTGAAGATTGCTTATTGCCTACATCATGAAAACAAAGTTATTACAACATGCAGAAAAAGTTTCCATTCATTGAAAAGTCATGAGATCTGTCTACATCAGCTAGAGCCCCTCCCACTTCAGTTGGATGTTGATAGCGTGTAGTGAATCCAACATCATCTTAACAAGAGGGGTCACCTGAAGAAAACCTCAATGATCTGAGCTCGCCTTGTTTTCTGATGAGACCTTATCTGACCACATGAGGCCACGGATTAGTGTGCGGATTCTACTTTTTAATCTGGGTCACCTCCCTTAACCGGGTAGCTAACACCTACTAGCCACCTGCCTGCAGTAATCAAGCTAATTATGTCTTCTCAAGAAGACCAGTAAGAGCAAGAGGAGGTGAAATATCCAAAAGCTTTTAGTTTCTGTCCCAAAATAAGATATTTGTGCTTTACTTTATTATTTTTATTGAAGCAGTCATATACTATAACTATAAAGAATACCTATATGTTGAGATCTTTTAGTATTTTTACATTTGTGTAGAGCAGGGGTCTCCAACCTTTCTTCATCTGAGAGCTACTTTGAAAAAATGAAAGTGGCCAGTTCTGAATAGTTGCCAATAGCAACCTGGCAACAGTTACTGTCGAGCCCTGCTATTAGAGTGAACCCAAGTGGGTCCAGCATACACCTCTCTGGTGGACTCCATGCAGTGCCAGTCGTCTCACCAACTGTGATGAGAGTGAATGCACTTATTTTACACATGTGCCATAAAATGCTAGTAAGGTGGTGATTAAGGTGATGTATTTAGGGCCATAATAAGAAGTGAACAAATGTCTTTTTCTTGGACATTTATGTGAATTTTCAGTGATATACCGTATTTTCAGTTTTGGCAACCAAAAGCTGATGCCTGGTTGCCAGCCTGGCAACCACTTTTAAAAGTTAGCGTTGAGCTCTGAATAATCATTTGAATGTTCATCCCTCAGTCTTGTTCTGTATTTAGATTTCATGACATTCATGTCAGAAAAAGCTGCTTCTTAAAAAAGGCATTCAGAGCCAAAAAAAGCAGACATGTCCAGTGCTGCTTGGTGATGTTCTTAAGAGTTTTCTGGGTCTACAAGGCTCCACAAATGTTGTCAGTTTTGCTGAGACTTAAGCTGAACATGATTTTGGAGATTTATAACCTCCATCTCCATCTCCACGGGATTGACACTGCACAGTTCAGCCACCTTTTTTCTTCGTCTTGACATTAAATTATAAACCATAATAAATCACTTGTATAGGTCTAGCCTCCCTATATCTGTGTGTGAAATTGTTCCATCCTCAAAAACAAAAAACTAATACTTCTGCAGTCTAGCTGCAGCTTCTAGCAACGGTCTTCTGTTAAAAACAGGACACTGAGGCCCAATCCCAAACCACGCCCTACCCCTACACACTCCCCCTCCGTGACGGAGTGAACTCCATGGAGTGACACTCGCAGCTCAACGATGCTCCCTCCTGTCGGAGGGCCGACAGGAGGGAGCATCGTTGAGCTGCGAGTGTCACTCCATGGAGTTCACTCCGTCACGGAGGGGGAGTGTGTAGGGGTAGGGCGTGGTTTGGGANAAGCTTGCAGCTGTATTTACTCCCTCCGACAGGAGGGAGCATCGTTGAGCTGCGAGTGTCACTCCATGGAGGGGGAGTGTGTAGGGGTAGGGCGTGGTTTTGGGATTGGGCCTCGGTGTCCTGTTTTTAACAGAAGACCGTTGCTAGAAGCTGCAGCTAGACTGCAGAAGTATTAGTTTTTTGTTTTTGAGGATGGAACAATTTCACACACAGATATAGGGAGGCTAGACAAAACTAATACTTCTGCAGTCTAGCTGCAGCTTCTAGCAACGGTCTTCTGNGAGACATTAGAGCACATGTGTCAAACTCGAGGTCCGGGGGCCAAATCAGGCCCTTGGTGGATTACATTTCGGCCCGCAGGATCATTTCTAATTACTATTAGATCTGGCCCGCTGGTATATTGCACGCACAACTTCACTCAATCCTGAGGGTCTCCTCAGCTCAGAGCCTGAGCCCAAACATTGATGAACTTGCACCCAAGATGAGATGCCAAGTATCTGCTTGAACTAGCATCACAGAGCAGCACAACTGAGTTTAATGGATGTTTCCTTCTGCACTTTGTTTCTTGAGACAACAGGTCATGTTAGGTTTCTCTTTGAGGGAAATAGTTTTGTTGAAGCTGTTGTTGGCCTGTGGAAAAATGTAATCATAAGAAATGACTCTGGAAAATCTGCAGATAGAGCCATAAGAAATGAATGCAGCTGATTATTTAATGTTTAATGTTGTTTTTATAGGCAATCATTTAAGCTTTGTTAGTTCCAGGTTTAATATGTGCAATAAGTTCATTTCAATAAGTTTTTCAATAAACATTGAACCAGTCCGGCCCTCGACTTGTACCCATCTTTGAATGTTGGCCCACTGTGTATTTGAGTTTGACACCCCTGCTCTAAGCTTTAAACTGTAGGCTATTTATACACAAGCTCAAGATTTGTAGATTATTTCCTGGCTCCTATACTATATTGAGTATTCATAAACATTTAAGCAAATGTTGGATATCACTGTTAGGGAAACAAACCCTTATAACCCCAGTTGACCCTGGTGCTTTTTTTGTTCCCATTTCAGAAACATGAAAATGAGGAAGATGGAGCAAGTGGTAACAAAGATGGAGAGAAGAAAGATACAGATGTAGCAATATCTTTTGTGTTTGGGCAGAATATCAAAGACAGAGCAAAGGTGGGTTGTTTTCCACCTGCGTCTAACATACAGTAACACTTCATGCGAGAATGTGTGACGAACAAAAACAATTGCATGGCCAAGGGCAGACAGGAGGGTCTTTACAGATATAGGATCATACATGGACAACAAGTTTCCTTGTCTATAGTTTGTTTTATTTGTGACTTTAAAGCATTTCCAAGCTAACACGTCAAGGGTCTGGTTTCCGTTGCAAAGAGGATATCCTGTTTTGTGACTAGTTCCTGATAAGAGGTGTTTTTCCTGTGGTGAAATCAGAGAAAGTCGGATATTATTTACGATTGAATGTTTTTCGGTCTTAAAGTTTTGGTCATTCCTTGAATCATAACTCTAAATGCACACTTTTTTTGTTTCTAGTTGGAAGAGAACAGTACAGAAGGCAAGTCAAAGGATGGTTTGCCGCTAGACGCTAAAGAGGGCACTAATTATTTCTTACAGTACATCTCTACCCCGAGGTAAGGAGATGTGTCCAAGTATTTTTAGCAACTTGTATTCATTCATTATTCACTTCCATCAACTCACAGTGTTTTCTTTTCTGTTGTGTCCTTTCAGTCCAAAAAAGGCCACAAACAGTACAGACACTGGGGCAAAATTTGTTTTTGGGCAGAACATGTCTGAACGAGTTCTGGTAAGTTTATGCTACCTGTTGCAAAGTGAATCTGCCATCCTTGATTTAAAAATAAAACTCTTGATTATAAAGCTTTGAACAAGTTCCACTGATAAGCTTTGTTGTGTTTTCAGAGTCCCCCAAAGGGTGAGCCCCCAGTTGAGGAAACAAAAGAAGTTTTAGCTGCCCCTGCTCCAGAGCCCTCATCACAGGAAACCCCCCCAGAGAAAGGTAGAAACACACAACCCCAGCGATTACTGAAGAGTGTGTGATGTTTGGCTTATCTACGGATATATTTAAGAGATATGTTTGGCTGCACTCCCGTGATAACTACAAACGACAGAAGCAAGCCCTGGGACAGTTTAAACGTTGAAACAAATATGTCACCACCCTAAAGCGAATGTGTAATATGTTGTTTATCTATTTGACGTTACGAGATGTCTTTTAATAGATGTATCAGATACAGTTGGGAGCTCGTGTGTCATCATCACACCACGTTTCCTGAAACATTAAGGCAGTTCTTGGCAGTAACTGATAACGTGACACTCTTTAGCACCAGGACACTTCACTGCAAATGCTGCTTGATGAGAACGAGGTTCAGCAGACATTTCTCTTCACATCTGTACCAAGTGTGAAGTGAAAAAATGGCTTGTTTAAGGGCAAAAGAAAACATTTCAAATGTGAGAGGACTGCATGAGAAATATATCCACCAACACAGGGCCATGAATATACAATGATTTATCGTTTTTAAAGAAAAGCATTTATGAAGGATAGACATTGTGCCGTAGGCAAATCAGGATCCTTCCTAGCCCCCTGTCGGCACTTGATGGTCCAACATGTTGCAGAGAAGGTTGTTTTGATCACTGCGAAACCAATATGGGAATAAGAGGAGGCTCTCAAACTGACATTAGTTATTGATCTGAGTGACGTGATGACTCACCACTGTATCTCCTCACAGCAGGGAACAGCGTGTCGGAGTCTTTGGAGGAGTCTGCAGCCGCTTACACCAAAGCCACAGCCAAGAAGTGCGTCTTAGAGAAAGTCGACGTCAAGACCGGAGAGGAATCAGAAAGCAACGTTTTACAGGTACGCGCCACGCTCTCTTGATTCAACACGGGTGGTTTGTAACAGAAAGCAACACAGTTGATGTTTGTTGTCACTCTCTAACTTCAGATGCAGTGCAAGTTATATGTTTTTGAGAAGACTGCTCAGTCGTGGATAGAGAGAGGTCGAGGTTTGCTGAGGCTCAACGACATGGCATCGACAGAAGACGGCACGCTACAGTCCCGTCTAGGTAAACACATCGAAAAGAGGTTCTTTGTGGTGGCTTTCATTTCCTGGTTCTTTAATACCCATCATTGAACACAAGGGGGAGCCCACTCCTCTGCTACAGCCGTGTGAACTACGCACTAGAGTGCTGAGAAGTACTTGTACATGGCTGATGGTTGAATGGAGAGTAACAAGTGTGTAATTTAAGAAATAAAAAAATGTTTGAACTGCTTTTTAAAGGAGCTTGTCTTTTATACTATTGTAATTCTGAATGATGTTTTGCGTCCTTTGGGCCTGTACCTCATTGCTGTTTTTGTGTTGCAGTGATGAGGACCCAGGGCAGCCTCCGGTTGATCCTCAACACTAAACTTTGGGCCCAGATGCAGGTGGACAAGGCCAGCGAAAAGAGCGTACGAGTCACTGCCATGGACACAGAGGACCAGGGGGTCAAGGTCTTCCTAATATCGGTATGCATGTTAAACATTATACTACGGTGGTGCAATCATTTCTATCAAAGTAGGGGAAGATTTGAATCTTTTCTTGCTCTACACCAGGGGTCTCCGACACGTCGATGGCGAGGGCAGCTTTTCAGTAGCTCGCCGCTCGCTGTTCACAGACAGTGTAGAAACAATCCGACAACAATAAATGCACCTGAGTCAGTCCGTGTCGCTGCGGCTCAGACACACATGGATTTATGTTCTTTTAAATACTGGCTTTAGCACCATGTCAGCTTTTTGGTGGCTGTAATCAAGTCCTTGATTGCAGAGTATGAATGTCCTCTTGCTATTTTCAGTTGATAAATACTTGTGTAACGTTTGTGAAGGCAGCCAGGAGGAAAAAGCTTCCGCGATCCCCGTCTCCTCTCTGCTCCTCCAAACCCCGCCCCCTCCCTGAAAAGAATGAGTGACAGGCTGATAGTAACCTGATAGAAACGTTATTATTCACTTAATCACTGATTGAGATATGATGACGCTAACTTAATCTCATACATTCATGGGATGTATGTAACAGTAAGACAGAGAATGTAAGTGTGCACCCACATGCACTATTTTAGTTTTGATATGCTGTTGTAAATACTCCTGTTGTCTGCTGTGTTCAGACTCAAGTCATTTGTGTGATGCCACATTCAGGGCATTCAGGCCCAATCCCAAACCGCCCCCTACACACAACCCCTCCGTTCGCGCGGAGGGTCCGCCACATTAATTGCTTTTCCAAAGCAACGAGTGTGGAGCGGTGTGGAGGGGGAGTGGGCTATCAAGCCCTCAAACAGCGAGTCTGCAGCGGTGCTGACTGGAGACCGGTCTCTACCTGACCGGAGTCACGCTGTGTGTGCCCGTCAGGAAACACGCTGTTCAAGTAGTTCCAGCAAACATCCACTGATAAACTGCGATGTTAACAACCTCATGATAACCTCATATGTTTTTAACTTAGGATCGTACCTGTGTTTAGTCTAGAAAAAGGTAAATGTGTGCATTTTATTATAAAGTTGTGTATATTTACAGACTGTTGCAAAAACTAAGAATCTTATAAACATCAGGTTTAAAACTAAAAGAGCTTTACAAAAAAGTAACACAATTAACACTAGAACCGCCAGAGGTCGCTGTATACCTAAAACCGCCAACGGGTAAAAGGTACAATGTTCTTTTATTTATCATACAGAACAGTGAGTTTTGATCGCACAGGGATGAAACTTATACCAATAGAATCTGTGGACTCTCAGCTTTTCATATGATATAGTTTGTGCAGATAACATGAAGTATAAAATATGGTTAAGAGTGCTGATTTAAACGCTTGGTGTTAGACTTGTGTTTTGTTTAGGTACAAATCTCTCTATCTCTCTCTATCGATATCATCTGTAATGTTCTGTTCAATGGACATATAATTGTCTACATAAACAGACGACGCAGACTACTTCTCTCATTCCGAGTGTCCATCTTTATTCAACTGGCACGTAACCTGCACACATGCATTACGTCCTCAACGTGAGCTCAGTCATCCAAGATCTTGTATTCTCCAAGATCTTACTCTATAACTATCTATCGCTCTCTCTCTATCTATCTATCAATATATCTATCTATCTCTCTCTCTATCTATAAGGAACCGCAGTAGACAAAAGGCGTTGCTATAGCAACACGTCATGTTTACGCTGCATTTTCTATGAGGTAAATATTACCCGCTGGCGGATATGGGTCTGCTTGTTAGGC